CCAGAGCCGCCGGAACCCAGGCCACCCTTGGGGCAGCCCCCATCAGCCCAGATAGACCAGTGCCCAGGCCGCTCTGCTGGGCGGAAGCGCGCGGCCAGGATTTGGAGCCAGAGCCGACCAAGTGGGGGGACGCTTGTGGCTCCCCCTTCTGAAAAAGCTCGGCTCTGACCCTGGGCCCTCCCGCAACCTGCTGGCTCACAGCTTTGCCATCACAGTGCGTGAAAGAATGCTCCGGGCTTGCTCTGGTTAACTGTCCACCCGAGTCCCCTAGGGCAGGAGCCCAGCCCTGTGCTCTCCCCCAGGGGCCCCCAGCGCTGGTACACTATGAGTGCGCGATGACAATCAAGGCGATGGGGCGACACCGTGCAGCTTCCCTGCCCATCCCGTGAGAGCAGTGAGAGCAGGTGGGGCCAAACCAGGCTCCCGCCGCAGGACCCCCCTCTGGGTGACAGGCGGGTGGGCAGAGTAAAGCTCAAACGCTCAGTGCTAAGCCCAGGCCATCTGCTGGCAGGAGGGACTGGGGTCACACTCCACAGGAAGCAGCGCCCCGCCACTTCCTGAACAAATGAAGCCTCAGGTGACCTGCTTGGCCAGGCCCAGGAGCAAAGGGTGACCCATCTGACCAGAGGCAGAGCTCAGGCCACAGGCCCAGCAGGCAGAGCAGGCGGCGCCAGGTACAGCCAGCAAAGCTTCCTGCCTGTGGTGTTCCTGGAATGGGCACTTCCTGTTTTGAGCACAGCCCGGGGACCCCCGCTTACCAGGCAGCGGGGATTTCCTCAGGGGCATCGGAAGGCCGCCTTCCTGGCTGGAGCGTGGAGGTGCACTTCCAAGAAGTCACACAAACTCCAGACTGCTCCTGGCCCGGAAAGCGTCTGGACAGGCGCCCCTTCCCCCCAAGCCCAAACTCCCAGCCCTAATGTTCCAGAACCCAGCATACCAGTGCACAAACACCACTCCAGTCTCACTGCAGAGCACCCCCCCACCCCCGCCACCAAGAAAAGCCTGGCCTCAGAGAACTGGGGGCCTGGCAGTGGCGCCCATGGGCAAGGAGCTTGGGTTTGGGCAGACGTGTTCACCAGAGCTCCAGTCACACCACAGCCATGGAAGGCACTGCCAGCCTCACTGCATGGCTGTAGCCCCGCTGCCTTCCCCAGGTGGGGCCCAGCCCCCACTCACCGAGGCTCCAGAAGTCCAGCTCAGTCTCTGCTCCGGGCTGGCATCGAAATTCTCTAGGAAGCAAAGGAGAGACAGTGGTCTCACCGCAAGCCTGGCCTGCTTCGACCTGCTTCCTCTGCTCCGTGTCTGGGGGTGTGGGGAGCAGCCCATGAGACCCCATTTTGCCTCTGTCATCCTAGAGCACGAGACTCTCAACCTCCTCTTTTTCTTCATGCCCCTAGCCCAGCACCCCATTGGGGTGCAGACACACCCATTTGGTCTTCCCAGAATACAAGCCTGACACACACCTCTCTCCTCTGCCCAAAAAAGGCAGAAGAAAAAGGGGAATGAGCCATTTCTTATTATAAGTCTATTGCCACTGTCTGTCTTTTTAAACTAGACACATATCACTGTGATTGAAACAAAAATTTCTTTCAAGAAATGGATATACCCATGACCCCCACAATTCTACTTACTAGCTGTGTGACCTTGGGCAAGTTACTTAACTTCTCTGTGTCTCAGTTCTCCATCTGTGAAATGGAGACAGTCATAGTGAGCTCCTCCAGGGGTTTGTAAGGACTAAATGATTCATTCAGGAAAAGCCTCAGGAGAGCTCGTTACACTGTAGCGCTCTGCAATGCTTGCTATTGTCTCCTCTCCTGGATAAACGCCCCCATATACCAGCAGCAAGGGTACTTCCCAGTAGTTTATTACAGTGGAAATCTGGCAACCACCCAGCATGCAACCAGAGGACTCTGAAAAACCACAGAATAGTCCGTGCTGACCCCCACGAGGCGCAGGACGGCTGTGGCACAGGGTTCTAGGCGTCTGCACGGCACACCAGGGTTTAACTGCTGAGTTCTAGAAGCCTGCATCCAAACTGGAAGTAGTGTGAAACTTGGGGGCAGGAAGGAGGGGGCTGGGACCTCAAAGAAATTTCATTTGCCACTTCATACAAAATTTTATAAGAGCATATTTATATATTCTTGACTAAATACGGAGAAACACATAATAATGATGGCCTCTCCCCGCCCCCCCCAAGCCCT